AATAGTATATTTTATAACATATACTATGAAAACATACATAATTAGCATATGAAAATAGTTGGGCCTAAATTTTTTTCTTTACATACAAAATATAGTTCTTTACATATATCAAAATAACAAGTACAAAAACTTAGCAACGGTGGATAATAATGCCAATTCTCTCCGCTTGTCGACGTCCTTCCGACCGCTGCTCACCTATTTCTTGCAAAAACATGGAAAAACAATGGGGTGAGCATAAAAATGCTCAGTAAGTAAATCCCGTAACTTTTCTTCTTCTTTGATTTTTTCCTTACTTAATTCTCTTCTTCTTTCTTTCTCTGTTTCTAATTCTCACTGTTCTTTTCTTTCTTTCTAATTCTCTCTGTTTCTTTCTTTCTTTCTGTTCTTTCTTTTTTACTCTTTCTATTCTTTCTCTTCTTGTTACTCTTCTATTCTTTCTAACCATAATAAAATTCATGGGATTATGCATAAATGAAATGCATATGCAATAATACATAAAAATGCATTTTATTTCTTCTTTCTATTTCTTTTCTTTTCTTTTCTTTTCTTTTCTATTCTTTTCTTCTCTAATCTTTTCTTTTTCTTTCTATGCTTTTCTTTTCTCTTCTTGTCTTGCTTGCCCAATCTTCTCTTTTCTTTCTTGTTTCTTTTCTTTTCTTGTTCAAGCTTTCTCATTCTTTCTTACTCTTTCTTTTCTTATTCTTTGTCGATCGGACTCGGTTGATATATGGATTCGGAACCTTGGTCGTGTGAGTGAGTACAGTCCTCATCTACATGCACTCCTGCGGACCGTACAAATTCTTCTTTCTTCTTAGGCCACTCAATTAAGGTGACGTGCATGTAGGAACTCTTTCTTCTTCTTCTTATGCCACTCAATTAAGGTGACGTGTATGTGGGAATTTCTTCTTAACACTCACGGTTCCCCATCACACCAACCTATTTTTTTCTCTTCTTTAACACTTTTTCTTTCTTTAATTCTTTAATGCTTATTCTTTTTTTTCTCTTATTCTTAGAATGTTTTATTCTTTCTTTCTTTATTCTTTATTCTTTATTCTTTCTTAAGTGTCTACATATACACAATTATATGCATATGGATGGCTCATGCTTAAAATTTCTTACTTAAATGTACTTATGAAATGCACATATACAATGTTGCATAAAATTAAGGTTTCTACTCACCTCATACTTCACTTAGGCATTTCATCAAACAATACTTGTGCATAAACAAACCCTAATGTAATTATCATTCTATTTGTTTCTTAAACTATTCAAATTGAGAGAAAAACTCTCTTGTAACATCACCATACCTACATGGCAAAAACACTCCCAAAAGTTTCTCCAATTCTTCCAATTTCAACCCATCATCAAACCATCACATACACTCCTCATATTCAAGTATATCCAACAACAAGCATAACTAATCATCCATCTCATCTCAATTTCTCAATAATAATAACATATGCATATTTAAAAGAAATCTCTACTCACTTGATTTTCTTAAACTTTAACTTGAGTTGGATTTTAAGTGGAATTTACTTACCTTATGCTTGAGTAGTCTCTCCTAAGCTCTCTACTCTTGTTGGATTCAAATCTTCTCTTAACCCTAAGCATAAACTTCATAAGAACTCAACTTTTACATAAATAAATCATAGATAAAGAGCATGAATTCTTACCTTTTGAAGCCTAAAATCAAAAACCTATGAAAAACCACTCAGAACCCCTCAAAATCCTTGGAGGATTGAATGAAAATTTGAGAGAAAATGGGGGAGGAGTGTGGCGGTGGAATGAAGAAAATAAGGATTTCAAACCCTTAACACTTTAGTTTATAAACACACTTTCTCATTTTGCCCTTACTCTTTCTTGAAAATTCCATCTATGTCCCTTAATTAATTACCATAATGCCCTCATTTTTAATGCATTTTCTATGAAATTCTGTCTCTTTTCACTCCCCACTTTTTCAACTAATTTTGAGTAAAAAGACCATTTTACCCTTAATACAAGTTTAAGGCATTTTCTTCATATTCTCTTAAAATAATTCTAACAAAAATTAACTAAGGGCTATAAAACATAATTTAAATCATGTACCTCCATGTTGGGCGTTACATCAACCTTGCGGAAGGAGACCATATCAGGTCGCTCGTAGGAAAATGTGTTGCGACCTCCTTGTAGCCAGGTCGGATCTACCAGGTGTCATTCGGGACATATCAAATCAAGGCATAATTATGAAGTTCTCAAGGCTCAATTTTCAAACCTTAAAAACTAGGGGACTTCTGTTATGCTTGAAAAAGTAAGGCTGACGCAGAGTCTTGTCAGCGTGGGATGGTCAGAACTTGGGAAGGTTCTGCGACCATTCAGATATGGCCACGTCGCATAATGACGTAAGTGTCATGCTTTTGTAAGTGCAGTGGGTGAATGTCAGGTTAACGGATGGTTGGAAATCGTCCACGTGTCTAATCCCTACATAAGTCAAGGAAATCACTCGGGTAAGTGAGCAATGGGACGCAGAGAAGGATTTGCACGCTACCCACCCACTTATAGATTTAGTAATCATTACCTTGATTCATCCTACTATAACTAGAGGTCTTCTCTCTCGTTTGCAGGATTGGCTAATTTCACTCTAGAATAGCTTACTCTCTCTCTCTCTATCTCTCTCTCTCTCTCTCTTGTATTCTCCAAGCTGTAACTTAGCTCGCTGAACGCGACCTGACCTTACTCTCATTAATACAACATCAGTGGACATAAGATTCACTTTTAAACATCTGAACCACTTTAAACATTGCCTTTCACCCTTTATTTAACAAAATATTCTCATATCACGTGCGACTTCTAAGTCCGCTTAGCATTTCTCACGTGCGAATAGTTGGTGTCAAAATCCAGCATCAACAATAATGCACCAACAGAGATTGACAAATAGAGTCCATACATGTAAACTGTAACAAAATTTTCAGAAAATGTAGGTTACACGTGTCATGAAAGCACAGTAATTGTATACAATGTATGAAAAAGGAGAAATTCTGATTAATGCTACAGTTCAAAATTGATGAAACCAGTTTCCTTAGCCGGCTGCTTTTAGAATAGCAGCTTTCTTCAGATATTTCTCCAGCCACACCTGCATAAGGATCAAAAAATGATTCAGAGAGAGCGGGCTTACACGCAAAATAAGTAATGGAGAAACAAATTTTGACTGATCATACACAATTGAATTTTATGAAGGAAAAGAGAACCAATGAAAGGTAACAAAAAGATTGAAAAATCTCATGCAACTCTTTAAGCCATTACAAAAAACAAAAGTATTCAGAAGTTTTAACTATTTTGATCCATATGTAACCAGAAAAACCAAATTGCTCTTTAAGAAAAGAAACCCCGACAAACAAAATCAAAGAAAATGATACATAGAAAATTAATGTTTCCAAATAAACAATCAAACAATCAATAAAGTTTAACGAAACTCACACTCTAGCAGAGTTGGTGAAACTCACGACATACATACATCCTAATTCTTAATCTTCCTAGCTACAATTAGCTTGCAAGTCTCTAGTAAGATTATGGTCATATAGAAGCTTATAAAGATCTTACCCATATAGAAAAAACTAGGAACTCAATAATGCAACAAAACCCACACATGAAAAATTACAACTAATGCATCCTCATGATACAAAATACATTCCAAAAAAAAAATACAAACTCGTTCAAATCAATTGGAAAATTAACCCTATGCCTAAAATTTAAAAAGCAGAAAAACAAAAAAAAACATTTGAAAATGCAAAACAACCAAAGATTCAAAATACAATAACAAACCCAGATGCAGAAAATCGAAATTACATGAAACTAAATACACCAATAAAGTAGAGAGAGAGTGGAATTGACTGAGAAAGAAAGCCTGTAATTTGTGGCCTATCTTGTTCATATGGACCTTCACATATCTTCCAAACATAAACTCGCTCTCCCGCACTCAAAGTAGCCAAAACGTGCGCATCATCCGCGAAAAACACCATATCCGTGACTCTCTGAATCCCAACAAAGAACACAAACTCTCTGTAATTTAAAGCCAAAACTAGTGAAATGAAACTGGTTCACAAGCAACAAAAAAGCGTAACTTATATAAAGAAGAAAGTAATGGGCCTTGTGTGTATAAAAGAGCCGTTGTTTTTATTTTTAAAATTTTTCAAAAATTAAATGCTATTCCATCCTTGGCAGGATTTACCTTATTGGTTTTCCTTCATGCCAACAACATGGCTGATAGGGACACTCGGCGGCGAGACTGGCATGAAGGAAAGCCAATGTCTTCTCATTTTTATTTATTTATTTTTCATTTATTTATTAATATTTTTATAAATAAAAATTGTTGTCAATTTTTTATGCAAAATTTTTTTGCCTTTTTTTTTTTTAATTTTAAAACAGGATTTTTTTCTTTTTATTTAAATTAGTTTATTAATTTTAATATTTAAACTTTGAAATCAAACAAGCGTTTTAAATATTTATCTAAAACCAAATAAATAAGTAGGGGTATTTTAGCCTTTGTGTTGTTTAACAAGTTACTATTTAGTATTCCTAAGTAGACCTGGCAAACAGGCGGGTTGGACGGGTATGGTCCGGGTAGCAACGGGTCACGGGTTAATGGGTGAAAAATTCTCGCGGGTCGACATTTTCATGATCCGTACCCACCAGTGCGGGCGCGGGTCACCCACGGGTCACCTCTGAAAATGGAAGCAGCTTTTTACATTTTTCATATTTTTTACTGTTTTCCATATTAAACTTATTAGTTATTAACTTATTATATTAAATAGATGGATGATTAAAATAAACTTGATTAGATTTCACCAATATTATTAATTCAATATTAATATTTTTCATATTTATATCAAAGTCCACCATATAGATAATAGAATTAATAAACACTAAACATACATAGTAATTACTAATTAGTAAACACTAAACATATAAAATTGTTTAACATTCAACATACATAACATAGTAAACACTAAATAATTAAACGTATATAATTGTTTAACCAAAGTACCAAACACACTAAACAAACAAAGCCTCCCTTGATTATGCAATCTCCTTCCCCCGCCCTTGACTTAATGGCACAACCAGCTGAACATCATCAATTTCATCTTCTACAATTAACAAGATATAAGTTAACTATCGTAATATATTAACAAACAAAAATATTAAAACATGTGAAATATAAGTTAAAATGTTACCTTTAACTTCATATCCAGAAATCCATGTCCTGGTGCATATCAAAGACTCTGCATTCTCCGGTAAAAGTGAACTTCGATATTTACTGAGCACTTTGCTACCAATACTGAAACTGGATTCCGAAGCAACAGTCGTTATTGGTATACTCATCACATCACGGGCCATCATCGAAAGTATCGGATATCGATCACTATTTTTCTTCCAATGGTCCAGGACATCCAAATTGCAAAATTTGATGCGATCAAATCTTGCCTCTCCCAAATAAGTATCCAATTCGGACTTCTTAGTAGCACTAAAGTCACTCTTGTAGTAGTCAAATTCCTGCACCATTTAAATAGTTAAATTTAATAAAGCAAAATTACAAAATAAAGAAAACTTTATTAATCACAAGAATATAAAAATATTTAGGGAGTATTGACTTACACAGATATCATCTCCAATGATATGAGGATTACTAGCTTGTCCGCAATCATCTCCAGTGGGAACCTCATGGCCACTTAGACTCTCATAAGCAGCAAAAAGCCTATACAACTCCTGTTGCACCAACTCCAACTTTCTTGTTGCAACTACTGGGCCATCAACTTTTTTGTAACAAAACTCAACAAACTCAAACTTGAAACGTGGGTCCAGAATTGCTGCAATTGCTAACACAACTGTATAAGAATCCCAATATTTGTCAAATTTTCCTTTCATTTGACTTGCCATGGTACTAAGAACTTCATCCTCATTTTCCATCTCTTCGTATAAACGCACTTGAATTCTCCACACATTTCTGAGATACAAGTTTGCTGTGGGGTACTGGGAACCCGAAAAAAGAGTAGTGATCTCATAAAATGGTTGCAAGAACTTGCAAATCCTCTCGCCCCTATCCCATTCTTCATTTGAAGGACAACTTTTATAATTGGGATCTATCAGTGCCAAATGAACAAACACACGACGGTATATTAACGCACTTTCAAGCATTAAATAAGTGGAATTCCATCTCGTGGGAACATCCATTCGCAATCCTTTTGAGCTTATTACACCAATTTGTTTGACAAGTTCTCCAAACTTCATTCTTTTAGCCTCACTTCCTTTAACATATTTCACACTTTCACGAATTTTATGCAAAGCCACGCTACTCACCTTTAACCCTTCTTGGACTATCAGATTCAAGATATGTGCACAACATCGCACATGAAAAAAAGAACCATCACATAATAAAACATTTTGCAGACAAAGTTGACTCCTTAAAATGTCTTCCATTTTATCATTGTTACTTGCATTGTCTAATGTAAGAGAGAAGACTTTCTTTTCAATCCCCCAATCTTTTAAGAAATCATACACTATGTCTGACAAAAGAGCCCCCGAGTGTGGAGGAGGAATATGGCTAAAATTCAGAATTCTACTCTGTAACTCCCAGTTCTCATCAACATAGTGAGCCGTTAAAGAAATATACCCATCAGTAGTACAAGAACTCCAAATATCAGAAGTCAAGCATATTCTACCCGAAACCCTCTCTAAAGCAAGCTTAATCCTTTCCTTCTCCCTGTAATATATCTTTAAGCAATCTGCCTTAGCGGTGTTCCTAGTATAATGCTTAACTTCATGATTCAAATACATATGGACATCCCTAATTCCTTCATGCTCCACTATTGAATATGGGTAATTATGTTTTATGATTCCTATTGCCATCTTCTCACGATAAATTTCTTGAGAAATCTTCAAACGTCTCAATTTAGTGTCACAATCCATCATCATTTGATCTACACTAGTAGTAATGGTACGTTTAGGACAACCTTCCATATGGCGCCTCATATTCTTAGTCCCATGACTGGAACTACCATGTGCATAAGACTTACCACAAATCATACACTTTACCCTCACTTCCCCATTATCTTCTGTATATGTTGTAAATTGACCCCAAACATCTGAAACTTTACGTCTTTTTGGACAAACAGTACTACCAGTAGAAGGAAGTTGACCTACGGCTACATTACGACCCATTCCTAAATCTGTAGACTCCTCCATACCAAGCCAATCTAAAGGACACAACAAAGTATTTACATTTAAATTAATTAACCAATCATAATTCATAACAATTCGTCCAAAAAAAATAAAAACACTCCCATATATTTTACAAGCAAACCAGCCCTACCAAATGACTGGATTTTTCCAACTCAACAATCAACACCCCTCAACTCCAATAAGTATAACCAATCATAATTCATAACAATTCATACAAAAAAAAAAAATTAATAAAGAATTTACGAATTCAAGTTGCATTAATAGCATATAAGGTTATCAAATACAAATCATAATATATTACAAATTGATCACAAGTTTGACTTATATGTTATAAGTGTGACATTTAATATAACAAAAATTTTGTTATATTTATTCTGTATAACTTAACATGGATGTTGAGGAAGTAACATGATTAATTAATTAATTTGAGAATTTTTTAAAGTATGACTTTAAATGCACCAAATAATACACAATTTTTGTTAGCATAAAAATCAATGCTTCTTTTCTTCATTCAATTCTTTCACCAATAGTTTTAGAATTTATAGATCAAAGTCAAAATTTGGTACCCTACGGTCCCCACCCATAAATTGCCTAAAGCAACATTTTCTTTTTGTATCTCCTATCAAATAAAGAAAGATTATTTCTTTTTGTTTTTAAATGTGACTGCTTCTCAATGTTTTGCAAGCAAAATCTATTCGGTCACCTGCTTTTCTTTTCAACCAAATAATTAAATATATGTTGAATTATTGATGCATATTATTAGATAGGATGTAGGAGTAATCTACAAGGTTGTAAACAAAGGAGGGTGTGCTTGTAATTGTATCTAAGTAAGTCAAACACAGCGTTTTAGTGTCTGTCCTGCCAAAACGTTGCGTTTGGTTACAGATACCAACTATTAAATAGTTGGTCTTGGTACTCGTCTTAGACTCTTAGTCGTCTAGTCGTCTTCTTCAAAACAGAAAAAAAATCAGTAAAAAGCTACAGCCTACAGAGCAGTTTTTTGTCACGCAAGATTTGTCTTTTCTTTTTTCAGTTTCAAACTTTCAATTCATCTCTACAAGATTGGTTTGAATTAAGAGACCACACTGACCTGTCTGCTGCCCTGCTGCTGCTGTGCTGGTGCTGCCGTGAGAGGAGATCTACTGCTGCCGTGAGTGAGATCTGCTGCTGCCGTGACCTGTTGCCGCTGCCGTGACCTGCTGCTGCTGGCGCCTGCTGCTGTCGTTAGAGAAGTCAAAGAATGAGGGAGAATGGAGCTGCTGTGAGAGTGAGAGAGTGAGGGAGTGGAGCTGCTGTGAGAGGACTGGAGCAGTGGAGCTGCTGTGGAAGAGAATGGCTGCTGCATTTTTTGTTTTTTTCTCTGATAAGTTTTGCTATTTTGGTTTAGATTAGGGTTTGAGTTGAGACTTGAGAGTGAGACTGTGAGAGGACTGACGACTGACGAGACGAGTCATAACTTTTATTTTATTTTTTTAAAATTTTGAATTTGCGAGTTCGTGGGTAGTACCCGGTCCATCCGCAAAAGTCACGGGCGGGCCGGGTACAGATCAATTTTTCACGGGTCGAAATATATATTACTCGTACCAGACCGTTGGGTACGGGTACCCGTTGATCCGCGGGTACACCCACCCGTTTGCCAGGTCTACGTTAGATGGGTGATTTAATGAGATATTAATGCACTACGTTGCTATTCCAAACATTCATATTAATCCAAACGTTTCTTGATTAAGATTACCGAGATATTAATATACTATTCCAAAATTCATATCATTACATTATTCTCTATCTCATCTGTAAGATTAAACTCACTCAATGGATTTAACTGATGATATTATAATAATAATTATATAAGTGCAGCACACTAACATTCATAAGTTTAAACATTTACGTGATTTAATAATAAAGTATACAAATGCGTTATGGTGAAGATGGCTATTAATAATTACATAGGTGAAATGTATACCTCTCTAATTTCATTCAACATCACTCGGTACCATGGTTATCAAATCGTGTATTATATCGTGTACCAAAAACCTAATTTTTAGAATCGTGTATCGCGTATCATATCGTATCGTATCGTAAGATACGTCTTTTTAAAAAAAATTAATAAAATAATCAAAATTTTCTAAAAATTAATATAATCCCCAAGATTAATTAAAGAATTTTATGGTATTATTGACTTTAAATTACGGTATTACATAATCAAAATTAATCACAAAATTCCAAGATCAATGTCAATATCTCCACTTATATTATTATTATCATGTAAAATGGGTAATACATATTCCTCTTCACTTCTCCATGCAAAATAGGTAAATTTGGATAGGTTTTAGTGAATCGGGTTAGGTGACCCGGTTTCGACCCTAATGTTTTTTTAGACATTGGCCCAAATTAATAAATCGTATCGATTTATATCGATATTTTTAAGGATACGCATGGATACGTAATCGTATCACGTATCGATAATTTAAGATACACTCTGATACATATCGTTGGCGACTTGTATCGAATCGTATCGTATGGACATATCAGGTATCTAGGTATCTAATAATCATGCTCGGTACCACCGCCACTCATCAACGAACACCGCCTCTCTCTCTGTATTCGCGTAAATTAAACGCTTACGGTCTCCAAAACTTCATTTCTTCTTTGTTCGCAAGCATTAGAGGAGCCTTTGCCCCATTTCAAGAAGAACAGACATACTGAATCAGAGAGCCATAAGTTTTCTCAATTTCTCTTTGCTTTTTTTTTCTCAGCTTCACCATCTGTCTTCGTACTCCTCAGTTTCGTCATCCTCTGACACGTCATCTTCATCCTACCGTCGTCGTCGCTGCCGAAATCTCTGCCGCGAAAAAGATAGAGACAGGGAGTCGGCATACAAAAAGGTACGCCCTTTAGATCCATTCCTCAATTCTTATTTAATTTTATTAATTCTGTGTATAATTTCATTTCTTTTATTTAACTATCAAACTGTTGTTGAATCTATACGTAAGTTCGTTATATCCTTCAACTGATCGACCTTAGTTTACTCTTACTTCTGTTTATTTTTGTTTCTATTTTCTTAATTTTGAATTCTTGAGTTTGAGTGGTGCTTGGTTGCTGAAACCGCTGGAGGATGGAAAAAGAACTGGAAGTTTAATTTTAGGATTGCTTTTAATGAATTATCTCAGTTTTTGTAGTTTATTTTAGTTGAGACAATTGTAATAAGAGTCGATCGAAATGTTTTCTCAGCTATCTCGGAGAGGAAATGTTTTTGTTCTTTTTGAGTTTGAACCCTCTGATTAGAGTCATGTTTGGGTTAATTCTGTAGTTTTATTAAATTAGCTGTTTAATAGAGCAAAATGGTTGAATTTGTAAGCTGTTTAATGAATATGTTGCCTAAATTGTATTTATGTTTTAATTGTAATGCTGCATTTTTTGTTAGCGGTTATGATGATTTTGTTGTTTTTTTTTTTTTTTTTTTAATTCTTTGACAGCTTGGAAATGGAAGGAAAAAAAACAGTAATGATATAGAGGGAGAAAGCTAGAGATCGGCATGGGTATGTTGTAAAGTGTATTTACTGATTATTTCTTATGTTTAATGTTATTTGTGAATGCACGGTGAATTTTGGTATTTTGAATTATTTTTTTTGGGTTTTCTGTTGTGTTCCTCCTCTTTTTCTCTCTTCTCTTCTGGAGGAAATGCCAGAGCTTTGAGAAGAACCCAGATGATCAGAAGAGTGGGGATATGTTGAAGTCAGACAAGTATGCCAATCTATTTTCACAATAATTATGTGTTTTTCATTCATTTCATGTTTCTTTGCCAATAGAAATTGTTAATGATTGATTTCTGAAACCAAAACTGAAATGAAAAATGACTTTTTGCGCAGAAGCACACATGTTTTGGTGGCTATGCAGAAGTCCATATAGGGTTGAAATCCTCTAAGCCATGGCTAATCATTCTCTGGTTGCAAGGTGGACCTGTGAGTATGTTT